CTTCCAGTGCCATTTGGAGACTCCAGAATTTGTTCTGTTCAGATTGGACAATCTGCTGATGTCTTTTCTGGTACTTCATATTTCCTCAATCCATGCTAAAGTTAAATGAATATGACATTTCTGTAACTGAGAACTTCATGTTAAAAAGTATACTACAGGTTTCATTTTGCATTATTGTGAAATTCAACTATATAACTTGAAATTGTCACTAGTTTCCTTTTCCAATGTGAAGTTCTATATTAGTTTGTTCTCAAATGTGGGTCTTTGCAGAACTGCTTGAATTGGGTTTTTTTTTTCATAATTTATCTATCCAATACTCAAAGACACTTTAAAATTGTGAAAAAACTCAGAAAAAACAATCTGCAAGTTAGTCAATATATTTTTCAAAAAAAATATGTCTTGAAAAGTATTTAATATATGAAGCTGAAATATCACAGAATTGTTAAAATTTTGGACCATAAAATTTTTAAACTGGAGTTGGACAAGTAGAAAATGTTCTGAAAATTAAATTATTTGAGATGGAACGACCCGGTGGAAAGCATTAATTAAGATAGAACTCTACTTTGTACATTATGAATGAGCTGGTATCTTTAGCTGCTGAAGCAGATTATAAAGTAGTGCAACTAGCAATAACGTTTGCAAGCAAGAAGTGAAGCAGGCTAGGATTAACTCATCTGGCAGTCTTTTATTTTTACTGGTAACAGACTTTGTAAAGTTGGAAGAATAATCACAGATTCAAGCTTTAAGCAGGTAAAATGAAATGTCAAAATGAAGCTCCAGCCACATTTTTTATTAAAACAAGCTGTTTTCTGGGGTGGACAAACAGTGTGCAGGGGCCATCTAAAAAGTGCAAAATTCAAAAAATGAAGATTCTTCAATTCTACATTTCCCTGGTGTAGTTTAGTTACCTAAATCCCTTGACACATCACTGGTTTCCTGTTAATTATACTATGAACGTTAGTTTTCACCCTAAAAAACACTCCCACCCCTCAAGAATAAATGAAATAAAATAAAACCCAGTTTTGCTAACACCAGGTTGAGATCAGTGCAGCAGAAGCTAATGTTTTATGAAGTTTGGAATCAAACTCTGAACACAGGATCCTACTGTTCTTTTATCAGCTTCTCCCTTTGGGGTGCGCCCAAAAATACTTTACAACTGCTGACACCTGCCAAGCTGGTTTTTGTAACTTGGCGCACAAAGCACGGCCAGTTTGCAGGTGTTCTTTACCATCACTTCAATGATCTATCGCTCCGGAAGCTTAGAGATTATTAGATGACAGTGATGGAGATGCTGCAACAGTATTGACGCTGTTTTGTTTTTACTTTTGGACACTTATCCTGCATTAGAAGGCTGCAATGAGTCCAGTGTGCTTAAATTATCAGTATAAATGATTATGGCACACTTGTTATGTGTGGCAACCAATGCTGTAGCCATAAACAAGGCTTAATGTTGTGTAACCCAGAGGAGCTGGGTTATTTTCTCCCAGTTCAGCCTCTGCATGACATAATATTTCTTTAATGCTGCAGATTATGCAAAAATTGATTGAAGAAAAAGGGACTAGATCTGATGATATTTTAAATAATAGGGTTCTTTCAGACTATTATGTGCTAACAGCATAAGGTATTTTTAAAGCAGAGCCCTCACTGTCCTCTACAGAGAGATAAATTAGGGGTTGCGTGAATCCTTAATGTTGTTTGACTAATAGGTGTTTAAGTCTTTATATGGTAAGTCTATTAGAATCAAAGTGTTTGGTTATCCCAGTTTGACCTGTAGCAGTTTCTGATGTTTGTTGTGATGTGCAATGCTGCCATAGCAGAAATCAGTGCATGGTGAACGATGGGCTGTCCAGAGTAACAGCGTGAACTCTGATAAATCTTCACATGCTCACAGTCTTAATACACTCTCTGGCATTTAGTGGAAATACATCAAACAGATACCACAACATGATGGTTAGATCGGGACAGATTTGCTACTCTCTCTACAGTTATTTTAATACCTGCTGAGTCATCTTAATCCGTCCTTAATAAAGGATGAACGGCTGGACTGTGTGTTGTTGTTTTTTTGCTTGTTTGTTTGTTCCTCTTCATTTATTTACTCTCTTTCCCTCTTCGCCCCTATTCATCTTTTCCCCATCCCAAAAGTTTTCTTGTCTTTATTTAGCTATGTTTTTCCTTCCTTCCTTCCTTGTTTTAGTATACGCTTCATATTGTATATCTTTTGTTTTACTTCCTGTCTTTGTCTTCTTACCTCACTGCTTCCCTGATTTTTCTGCACTGTTTATAAATGTGTATTTATAGTCCTGTCTCTCAATATCTGTTTTTGTTCTTCCATCTGTGCTTTCTTAATTTTGTTGAAATTACATATTAAAACCCTTTTTCTTTCTGTAACCATGCCTCCAGTGTTCAGACTTTGGGTGCCACTTTTTCCTTAGTCTTCAGATAGGTGACCAAAATTAGTCCCTCCTCCAGGAGAACCATGGGACCCAACCAGAACATGAGGCTGTCCCAGTAGCCTGTATCACCACTTTGCGGTGATGGAGGATGTAGTCAGTTATAATACAGATTACTTCCCACAATATGGTATCTGTTTTAGCTGTCACATCATGTTCTAGCTCAAGTTAGTAATCCTTTAGTATAGAAGATGTGTTGAGGAACCTCAATGAGAAAAACCACTGCCTTGGAACATTTATCAGAGATACTAGGTCTGCATTGGAGCGGAGGGTCGGGTCAACAAAGATAGAGGGGGTTTTGGATAAAGGTGCCTCTCTGCCAACAGCTCCATTTGTGGCATTCAGAGGAAGCTAAGAGATATCCCCACTGTTTGACAGGACGTTTCCCATAATGGGATGCTTCTTGCTGTATGGTTTGACTTTTCTTATCACCATTATCTCTTCAAGTAGCTCAGAGAAAACAGGCAACAAATGCTTAGCCATCTTCTATTATTACTTCTGTGTTACTTAGATGTAACACATTATTATTTTCAGTGTTTCTGATATTTATTTAGACTCTCTCTTCAATTGATCTTTCTGAGTTAAGTTCAAATAATTACTTCTTTCAAATCATCAATCTGTCTATTAGACCTCATTCTTAGAAGACTCCTCAAAGAAGTCCTACCATTAAGTAATTCTTCGATCTTAAATATGATCAATCTATTTCTATTAAAATGTTAGATACCACAGGCCTTTAAGGTGGCAGTAATTAAATCATTACTTAAAGAGCCATTACTTGGCCCAACAGTGTTGTCTAGTTACAAGACAATCTGAAACCTTCCTATATCTCAAAAATTCTTTAAAAAGTAGTTGCAAAACAGCTAACAGATTATCTGCAGAGGAATGGCTTATTTGAAGAGTTTCAGTCAGGCTTCAGAGCTCATCACAGCACAGAAACAGCTTTACTGAAGGTTACAAATGATCTTCTTATGGCCTCTGACAGTGGACTCATGTCTGTTCTTGTTCTGCATTTTACTAAAAAGATTTGAACCTACCTCAGGTATTAAATGTACTTTGCAGCAGTGGTTACTTCTATTTAATAGACTCCAGTTTATTTAAGTACATTGGGAATCTTCTTCACACACTAAGGTTAATAATACAGTCCAACAGACTTCATTGGTATGCAGATGATACCTTCTTTTATCTGCCAGATGACACACAGGAATGTCTTCAAGACATAAAGACCTGGATAGCCTCTAATTTCCTGCTTCTAAATTCAGATAAAACTGAGGTTAATTTAGTCAGCCCTAAAAATCTTAGAAATATAGTATCTAACCAGATACTGAGTGAATCAGGTGATCCTCCCGGGTTATGTTGCAATAGACCTAGATTGGCTTCCCAGTGTTTCTTCTTCACTATTTACTCTTTGTGTGTTTATACACCACTCTCCATTTGATTATTAGTTGTTATTAATGTCTGGCTCTCTTTTGCAGTATGCCTTTTATTGTGTCTTCCTCCTTCCTCTCGTCGCCCCCTCCGTAAGCCTGGTTCTGCTGGAGGTTTCTTTGGTTAAAAAGGATGTTTTTTCCTTTTTATTATTGCCAAGTGCTTGCTCATCGGGGGTTGTCTGAATGTTGAGGTTTTCTCTGTATTATTGTGGGGTTATTACCTTACAACATAATGCACATTGAGTTAACTGCTGTCATGATTTGACACTACATAAATAAAACAGAATTTAATCAAAGAATTTCAAGCAGGGATTCAAATAAATCATTATTATATACTCGCAACAAACAAGGTTACAAAAACAAAGAGGTGCACAGCCGGCTGAAACAACACCAAAACGATGCTTGTGCCAGTGGATGTGACATCTCCTTTGTTGTACATTGCCATTTGCTAAGGTGAGAAAGCTAGCAAAATGGGCCACAAGAGTTTAGGCGGTTTGTTAACAAGTTACTGAAAATGTTGTTGCCAATTTTCAGATAATTAACTTCTCAGTGGGTTATGTTTTAGTGTTTGCTCATCTCTTATCTCCAGCATGAGTTGCTAAGGAGAAGAGGTTACTAATGTGGAATTGCCAATGAGAATAAGTGGAAGAGACAGATGGTTGGATAGATCGATGGCTCGATGGATGGTCCTAAAAACTTGGGTTTTAATATGATGTCACTTTGCTAACAGGAGTTGCTCTACTGGAGAACACCAGAAATGACTACACAGATATTTCCAGATAACTAATTTATGTTGAAACCAGCAATACACAAACACTGAAAAGCTCTAATGTATGGGGACCTATTCAACAACTTCAGTGTGAACCAACATAGTGTTTGTGTAATGAGTCAATGTGCGACCTTCACAATAACTGAAATCCTTGTGCTTTAATCCATCAATTAAATTTTTTATCATCCTCTGGGAAAATGAAGCTGGTCGTGATGACCCAGCAGAATCACGTCACCATGGCAACAGTGGAGCAAAGTGTTGTCATAGTGATTAGAGCTAAACAGAAGTGTGTGTGTGGTGAGGATTAGATGGTTTATTTTACTGATTCTTGTCTTTTCCTCACATCCTCTGCAGAGCTACCATGACACTTCCCGAGGCCACACCCACTCAAGCACAACAGTGACGGCCATCTTGGTGACGTTGATGTTGGTGTGTGCACTGGCTGCACTCGGCTGCTATGTCTTCAAACACAAGACTGATGCCTTCCGCTTCCACTACTTCAGAGTGAGACACACACACACTGCTCCTTGTTGTCCTGGTTACAGTATTTTTATTTTTTACATTTTTGCCTCATTAGCTGCATGTGATTCATAGATTATTTCCCCACCAGAATTACTTATAACTAAGTCCCTCTAGAGCTATGTTGTCCCACTTGATTTGGTAACACCTCTGGGCAGTTATTTTGAAGCTCCAGTTTAAATGAATGGGGAGTCAAAATAAATTTAACTGGGTCATAAAAACAATGCATGAATGGAAACTTAAGTTAAATATGCTAAACAGCACTTACAAGGTTTTGATGAGCTAATAAAGTTATTTTTTCCCTTCAAGACATACTTAAGCAGTGAATTATTAATAGTTTTATCGTGGATTAATACTGAGTCATCTTTTCTCTGTCACAGAATGAGGATGAGGATGGTGCAACAGGAGGTAGGCCCAAACCCACACTGGTCTCCATCCCCAACCCTCTCTATGTCAGCTCTAGAGCCTTAGCTGAGCCATTTGAGGTAAGTCTTAGGTACTTTATCTTAAACAGAGATTCTGTGCACAGGTTTTCTTCTTAGAGCAGGCGACCCATATGCCAAGAGGCCCAAGTTCCAATCTGCATTCGGTCCATTTCCTGCAGGTCTTTCTCTTGGCCTTTTTTCCAGCTTTCTTGTCTGTTCTCTGCTGTCCTATGAAAATAAAGGCTACAAAAAAGCACCAAAAGAATCTAGAGTGACCCTGCATGACTTGGAGGTCAAAATAATTTATATCTGTCTTACACTGGTTCTTGGTGCAGCCCCTCAGGTCATCCTCAGTTTGATTGTTTTAGCTCTTCCCCCCTTTTTTTCAATATGACATCAGAAACCACTGAGAGATACAGAGATAAGACTAAAATTAACAGGACATAAGAGGAGAGTAACTGAGACAAGAAAGTTACAACAGGAGTTCCGGAATAATACATGAAATGTGAACGTAACAACCTAAAGATATTTAAACAGAACTTCAAAACTCGGACACCGCAGAACTCTAAGCAACAGACTCGGAACCATGACAGGACTAGCCCGCTGTATCATTTTTTCACTCTGAATTTTGGGGTGGCTTTACATTTAGCCCTCTGTAGGTTGATCATTTTCATTTCCATCAAACAGTGTAGCATCTTTTTGTTCCTATCACATTACCCAGTCCATATATGTAGGTAACCATAGATAAAGATACATGATTTTATTCTTTTCATTGGGATCTGATGTGTTTTCAAAGTGTTCCTTTAGTTTTTCTGAGCACTGTGTTGTGGTGGACTGCGGCTGCCATACGTTTGCAAATGGCTGGACGACATATTTAAACAATGCTGCCCTCACTATTTGGCACCAAGATACAAATTTTGTGTTACTCCCCCCCCCCATCCACCATCCATCATGCCACACATACAGGTACAACTGACATCCTAAGCAGACTCACAAATCCTCATATTAGACAGTCTTCTTCGACATCTCCCCTGTTTCCTGGGATGTGCAGCCTCTTGCCTGCCTCTTCTCAGAGATAAGAGGCCTGACTCCATGTGTCTGTGTGCACTTGAGGGGAAGGTGGGAGCTTTTAACCAAAATAAGTTTTAGGCCCTACAGCTGCAGCTGGCAGAGGAAGAGGAGGGTGATGGGAGATTTAATGTTGCACTCTATTACTGTAGCCTGTAGTAACACATAAATATACAGTGCCAGCTGAACAAAAGAGGAGCATCATGGAATTATATTTGTGTCAAAAGTGGCGCACGAGAGAAAATGATTTCACATGAAATTAAATTATTTCATAGGTGCAGGTATTCATGGCCTCTCACTCAATTAAATTCCTCACACGCAAATTCAACAACCTGCTCACATACACCCCGGAAACCAAACGCTCAAAGAAGTCAGATTTTAATCCAACATGCAATACCATCTAGAAATAATCTGACTGGCAGCAACTTTATTTTTTAAGCACAACAATGATCCCAAACACACTTAAAATGCAGTAAAAGCATACCTGGATTGAAAAAACACACAATGGAGTACTATCAGTCATGGATTGGACTCTCCAGAGCTCAGAGCTTAACACTATTAAAGCATAATGGGATCATCTTGACACAACAAAAGAACAAAAGGCAGCCAGAATCCACAGAAGAACATCAGTGCAGACACACTGCTGTACCTCAGCATTCTGCTGCAGGGCTACTCCACATCTCTCAACCTCACTGCTGCACAGCTTCTAATTTCTAGCACCACTGGGTAAAATAAACATCAGCTGCTCATCCGCTGTTACTAATTAATGATTAGTCTGTGTGTTACTTCATAGCAATCCAAGACTGTTCTGATCTCAATCTTCATGTCCTCTCTGAGTTATTAAAACTGACAGTAAGGATGAAAAGAAAGATTTTAATATCTAGATTATGATGTGCACTCCTTAAGGAAGCACTGAAGGCACACCCTTCATTATGCCATTACGCCCAAAGAAAAAAGAAGCACTGCTACCTGTTCACGGTAGAAACTCTCCATGGTGTCATGGGAAGGGAAAGTGTTTATTGACAGTCCGAATGGCCCAGGGGATGGAGCTGTTTGTGAGTCTGGAGGTGTGGGATTGACTAGGGATGGGTATCGTTTAGGTTTTATCCGATACCAGTACCAAACTCATACTTTTGAAACTGTGCCGGTGTTTAAACGGTGCTCGAACCGGTGCTTAAAGAATGGAGAACACAAAATTGGTCCAAAAACCTCTCATGTTCAGCTGTTTTTTTGTAAAAAGATAACAATGTTAGCCTTTTCTGCAGCTATGGGGCAAATATGGTATCACTCTTGGCTGGAAGCAGTGCTTAAACAATGGGGAAAAAACACAAACTTTGTCCAAAAACCTCTCATGTTTAGCTGTTTTTCACTTTTTCTTTGGTCATTTTAGCCTTTTTGGCCAGGGTGAAGGGAGTATCTGCCATCAAACAAGAAGACAGCCGCATGTAACTACGACAGTGTTTGCTAGTTCACCTTACATCCATTAATGTAATAACGTGGTTAGCCTACTCAACATAAATTACACACGAACAACATTAAGCTACTGACCCAGTGAAAAACGGCTGCTGCTGCCATCATCATCCGTCATCATTTCTGCTACACTGGCAGAGCTAGGGGCCACGACTCTCCTCTTCGGGTTTTTGGGGGATGTTGCTAACTCTGGGTCAGATAACAGTCAACCCACCTGCAATAGATGTGCACGGTGTGAGGTCTCGCAGCAAGCTATCAAATACGGCGCATTTCTGGGCTTTTAACAAAACGCTATACGTCTCCAGGTGTTTCATCAGATTCAAGGAGTTACCTCCTTTGCACAGTATCACCTTAAAGCACTTGTTTCAGACTGCTGAGTTTGCATCTTTTGCTGTGAAGTACAGCCAGACTTTGACCGCTATGCCTTGGGCATTTTTAATCTGTAGCTCTGCTCTTAAATAACGTACGTACCTGGGCCCGCCTACTACGCTGGCAATGGTAAAATGATTGGCTGGAATCCAAAGTGCATGACATCTCAGGAAAAAAAAAGCACCGAAATAAAGCACCGAAATAAAGCACCGAAATAAAGCACCGAAATAAAGCACCGAAATGTGCGCTGCTTTTCGGTCTGGTTACTACTGTTTATGTCAGAACCGGAGACATAATGGCACTGGATACCGGTACCCATCCCTAGGATTGACCAGAGGTGCCAACCAGAGGGTAGCAGATCAAACAGGTGGTGAGCGGGGTGCAAGGGGTCACCTTTGATGGCTCTGGTTTTCCTGAGACAGGAGGATGGCCTACATGGGTGGCAGAGGGCAGCCAATGATTTTTTTTGGAGGTGTTAGTTACCCACTTCACAGCTGTCCTCTTCTCAGTCGTGGCTCCTGCATACTCAACACCAAGGCAGTAGGAAAGTATGCTCTCCACTGAGGAGCTGTAGAAGGCCACCAGCAGCTTCTGGTCAAGGTTATTCTTTAGGAAAAGGAGGAAGTGCAGCTGCCGTTGATCCTTTTTTACCAGGACATTGGTGTTGTGGGTCCAGGTGAAATTGGCAGAGGTGTGGGTGCCCAGAAACCTGAAGTTAGAGACAGATTCCACCCATTGTCCATTTTTAATGAGAAGAGAATGGACCTGTCTGTGCCTCCTGAAGTCTATTATGAGTTCTTCTGTTTTAAGGACATTCAGCTTCAGGTTGTTTTCTGAGCAACAGTGGGACAAGTTCTCTACTTCCGCCCTGTACGCTGTCTTATCTCCATCAAAAATGAGCCTAACCACGGTGGTGCTGAGAACAAAGCCCTGTGGGGATCCGGTGCTGAGTGACAGTCAGGGGGGAGGTAGGAAGTCTTTGATCCAGGAGCAAGTGACGGGGAGTTCTGAAGGTGGTCCAGTTTGGTGGTGAGGATGTCTGAGATTATGGTGTTGATTGCTGAGCTGTAGTCCACAAAGAGCATACTGATGTAGTTCTTCCTGTTCTCCAGATGGCTCAGCGCTCTGTGAAGGGTGATGGCATCCTCTGTGGACCAATTTGCTCTATAGGCAAACTGGGGTGTGTGGGGGAGGGGTGGTCTGAAACCGAACAAAGAGGGCTTTGAGGTTAGCCCCTGACAGAAAGTTTGAACCTGCCGTCGGGGGTTGGAGGGTTCTGGCCTTTGTAGTTGGTGAGAGTTCTCCACATCTGGCGGGGGATGTTATCAGTGAGGAAGCCTCCCCATCCTGTATGCCTCATTTGCCTGTTTGATGCCCCTCCTCAGGTTGGCTCTGGCAGTGTTGTACAGAGAACAGTCCCTCAGCCTGAAGGCAGAGTTATGAGTTCTGATCAGAGCCTGTACTTCACTTATCGTCCAAAGTTTTTGGTTTGGAAAACCACGGATGGTTTTGGTTACTGTCACATTCTCTACACAGCACTTAATGTAGAAAAGGACTGACTGAGTGGTCTCCAGATCCTGGTGTTTGATGTTTTACAACTCTGTCAGATCAAAACAGCCCTGTATTCGGAGAAGCTCATCATCTGGCCAGTTTTTAATGACCCAGGTGTTTGGAGTGAGCTGTTTCCTGAGGTGGGTGTGGGCAGGAATGAGGAGCAGAGAAAAGATGGTCAGATTGTCCTAGGTGGGGGAGGGGTGTTACCCTGTAGGCCTGTTTGATGTTGCTGTACACATGGTCCAGTGTCCTGATCCCCCTGGTACAGTTACAGTTAACATGTTGGAAGAATTTAGGGAATACAGACTTCAGAGATACCTTGTTAAAGTCCCAGCAACAATATGGACGCCCTCCGAGGCTCTGTCTGATGTTTACTGATGATACGTTGAAGGTGGTTGAGTGCTGAGCTAACATTAGCATTGGGGGAATGTAAATGTACTATGGCTACCGTTAGCTTGCGAGGTAGATCAAAGTGCCTGCCCTGAATAGACATGGCCTCTAAGCAGTGACCATCTGTAATTCTACTGTTATGGCACCAATCCTGAAGCAGATAAGCACAGAGCTTGCCGGCCCTTCCCTAACCAGATCTTTGTTGCGGT